GTGTGTGTGTGTGTGTGTGTGTGATGTGTTTATCCATAATGAAAGGACAAAAGCATTTCTACAGTGACAGGTAGTGTTCCTTCACACGTCCCTTAAACTGACCCAGAGTTTGAGCACGTCGCACTTCCACCGGCAGCGCATTCCACAACCGAGCCGCTTGTATTGTGAAAGACTTGTCATAAAAGCAAGTGGAGTGCTTACAAATGCTGAGCTTAAGATTCTCCGATCTCCGATTCTTTATCATCAATGCTAAGTATTTGGTACTGATTCTTCTTATTATTTATTTGAATAATAAGTACAATTATTCTAACTATTCTTATCTAACCTCAGTTTTAATGCGAAACGACGTTCACCGTGGAAAGCTGGTGACATAAGATTGTCTATCATAATTCCGGAAATGCAAAAATTTTTTTATGGCTTAAGCCGGTAAATGAACATACAGATCACCTGATGGTAAGCAATCGGCGTCGCCCATTGGCACCTGGAACACCAAGGCGTTACAAGTGCGTTACCGGCCTTTTGGAAAGTAGAGATTTGATTTAACCTCACTCGCACGACGAAACACAACGCAAGCGTTGTTTCACATAGGTTTTCTGTGAGGCCGTGCTATCACTCCGGTCGAGCCGGCCCATTAGTGTGACATCCGCCATGAGTGGATGATTAGTATATAAATTTTGGTGACTTTGTTGGTTGAGAACAAATTCCAATCCATACAATACATTAATATTAAAGGTTTAATTATTACTTCAATTTTCCAGATCCTTGAAAGTATGGGCGCAGGTTTAGACACCTTACCTTGCCTTTACCTTGTTTCCCCATTCCAAATTCTAGATACTAATTTTATTGTATCATCATCAATACTAACAACTCAATTTCTTGGGCTGTCGAACTTAGATATCGCACCCACTTTCAGCCGACCACTTTTAAATAGGTACCTACCTACCTAGCTGGAGGTATCCCTTAGAAAACTCCATTTTAGAAGACGTCATCGATCTGTCTCAACCGCGGTCATCGATTTAAATATAATCAAACATTTTTGGACGCTATTTTAAAAACATAATGTCACCATTTCTCTACACACTCCCTAAATTCTGGCATTGTGGATTAAGAAATGTTTTGCTTTCAGACTATGAAATTGAGTCACACCTATTTTTAAAAATAAATGTCTCAGTCTATGTATTTCGAGTGTTCTGCGAGACATGGTGGAGTTTCCATATGCCAAAAAGCACTTGGCTTAAGCAAGTCGCCAATATCTGTAGTTTTGTATATATTATTTTTCTCATATATTGTATTTAAATGGTTTTATTTAGCCTGCCCAGTTTGTTTGTTTGATTCCTTAATAATTGTAATTTTACCTACTTCCTAATGACAGATCGATCTGATATTTTGATACTCACTCTTAATTTTCATAACCACCCAAGACAAGCTCATTAAAACCAGTTTGAGTATAAAATATTTTTTTATATGAATTAGATATTCGATGACGTACGAATTTGAATCAATGTATAATGATCAACTATGTTATCAGTTTTTAAAATATTTTAAATAGATTCAAAAATGTATCATGCATACAGCATACGTAGGTATTGGAAAACTTGATAATTTAATAAACGCTCAGACGTCGAACCATCAAATATTAAATATTTAAAAAATTAAAAAAAACGCCATCTATAATCGCTTCCCAGTAATGTATTTAATGTTGTTGTCCCAAAGTAGATGGCGCTGTATTACATTAATTACGTTTTAGCGTAACTGTACCTATAGATGTCGTTTCTGTTTATCACCTGTTTGGGATTAAGTATTTATAATATCACAATGCTTGATATTCGTGATGAAACTTCGCAGATGTGTGCGATCCCATGTATAAATAGTCTAATAAAAACCTAATAAAAACTAATATAGAGAAATAAAATAATGCTTCCGGTTATAACAGTCAGCATAAAACCAAGACGAGGCAAAAGGAAAGTAAACTTGTAGATCAAAACCACATCGATTTTATTGAAAAGAAAAAAAAAGTCGAGACGTCACCTTATAATAGATAGATACATCAATGACAACTTTTTACCAACCAAAGGATTATGTAAAACATGGAAGCATCATTGTAGACTGAATGTGATGTATTTATAAAAGCGCACATTTACCCATTAGTGGAGTAATTACTACAAAGAGTATTGCAGCTATGAGGTTCGGGAGTGAGCGGGCCACTCCATTTACATTGCATCTGTCACCTTCGCACTCTGAACATTGTGTCAGTTTCACTATTCTTGAATTTGCGCTCTCAGCTTTTGTAATTTCTGAACATGACCCTCGTTCGGATGCACAGCCGCGAATGTACCACGGTCTCTCCATTTCTAGAAGTAAAGAAGCGTGTCAACAAAATTCTATTAAGTTTTCTTACCATTACGGGGTTCAGTCTATTCCATTATTTTAGTCTACATTGGAATCACATTGCACTTTTCTCGTAACGGACGAAGTATGGGTAAGATTTAATACATGCATACGCTTTTGTGATACGATGGTTGTAATTATGATTGGTACCTATGTGTGTGTGTTAAATAGCAAATCCTATTTCAGAGGAAGGCCCTTGTTCATCATTGTAAGACTATAAAAAAGCAGGTATAGTGTATAAGCCAAACTAGTGTATATATTTTAGGATGAGGTTTTGTCAAACGCTAGGCACGATTTCAAAATCCAATTACTGAAAAATAAAACTCAATGAGTACTACGGTATCTAATATTCAAGTAATTCACGAAAACGTTTCTAAACCAAAACTATGCATTTGTAATTTGCTTGAAGATTGTCATATATTAGAGTAGATAGTAAGTAATAGTATAGTAACATGTGCAAATGAAAGTGATCTTTAGCTAATAGAAAATTAATCTTATCGACATCATCATAAACACTATATTCATGAAATTGCTACGTAATTGGGACTGTCCCAGCACATAAGAACTTAGTACTTATAAATTGCAATGATTACTCATCAAATGGTTTCAACGAGGCTTATTGTAGGCGATAAAAATGATAAAAGGACTTTGAATTAGAAATAAATGTTTTTAATGAGTGGATACCTAAGTTTAAGTGGATTTTAAATTATATAGACACTATTCAGCGAAAAAATATGAGTCAATATAGAGGTAAATTATAAACGATGATAAAATGAATAGTGAAATGTTTCTGCCGGGTTGAATACCTAATGGTAAGATGTTTAAAAGTTGCAAAACGGGTGTTTTTCGACTGAAGATAAACAACCATAGGCCGCTAACAATGAGTTTCGAAAAATAACATAAGACCACGCCTTTTATCCCCGAAGGGGTAGGCAGAGGTGCACACAGAAGTAACAACCACTTTTCACTATTTATGTTATGAGTCCCATGTAATAGGGGGTGAGCTTATTACCGAATACCGGGCACAATTCCAGACTCCGTGCTACTACGGAGATCTCTTTAAGAAACCCAGTAATACTTTCGAAAAATAAACCTAACAATTACTAATCTGGCTGAACGATAGATTAAAGTCTAGAATAACACACAGATTAACATTCTATTCTGATAACGACAGTCGGTTAAGTGAGAATAAGTATACTTACGTTTATACTTTTCAGTGTAAACGACGCATTTGTTGTTTTTGGCAGGATCGTTGGTGAAAGGGCAGTATTTAGTGGTAGTATTAGGTAGAACCTTATAGCAGTCTACACAGGCGTAACATTCCACTAGACGTATCTGTGTAGGGTACAATCCAGGTCTAGAAAGTTTGCTACTAGCTGAACTGTATGGTTGAGGCGACGCCGACCGTTCCTCTGTTTCTTGTTCTAAATTATCCGAATCTTCCTTGCGTATTAAATCTGGATCATCTAAAACACGCATAAAATTTTAATACGTCACCTTATCTTGGTAATTGGTCTTATAACAATAAATTGTCATCAGGCTCAAATGTATGCTATTTACTTTAATCAAGGCAAGGGAATACAAAATAAACATTATAGGTACCTTGGTGCTCTGCGAAACATTTCACTCTGATTATTACAAAAAATATTGCCAAAATTAACACAGCCAGTTTGGACATTTTCCTTCGGAATCGGATAAAGTAAAGCATTGTTAAATGTACGAATCCTTTTATAGTTAAAACGTTTTTATCATTACAATGGTTAGATTGTACATGCTCTACTGAGCTTGATGGTACGCAGTAAACGAAGCAAACTAGCTTGTTTGATAGACCATTATAAAGATTTGTAAGCAGATACCTACATTAATTACATAATGTCATCATCATTTTCATTATCAACAGCTCAGGACAAGATTCAAGTGTGGAGGAGGCATGCTTCGGCACTAATGGACCGGCTCGACAGGAGTGATACCACGGCCTCACGGAAAACTGACGTGAACCTTTATCTTAAAAGGAATTAAATATCTTTTACGTATAAATTGGCTTATGTAGAATACTTATTCTATCTATCTCATCTTATTTGTTAACAATATAAAATTTTCTTCTTATATTGAAACGTAAACTAGACGTTACCTAAGAAGAAAACCATTTCTATGGGAATAATCATGGGATGGATCACCTGACTATAAATGTAATGGTCCACATTACATCAATAGCACCAGAGAAGGTAGCCTATGAACAGCTGTAATATTAGAAGCATCAAGAGTGTTCTACTGACCACAGAGGAATGATAATGGAATATGTAATTATAAATAATTTATTAATGTCTAAAATAGAAATATAATGTTGATATGAAACAAGCAGTCATAAATGTAAACCCGATCGCAGGTTTTGTAGAAGCATTGCAAAGATCTGCTTTGCAAACTTTACACTTCGTAATATTTGTTGCGGCTCCAGCTACATCGCGACATTGTTCTATTGAGGTTTCAGATTTTTCGTCCTCTGATGGATAATAGCAGCCACGAGAGATCGTCTCCACACCATTCTCTGGAAATAATACAAAAGATATTTTAGCAACTAAGCCTCTTCCGTGAATTACATGCTCCATGTTTTTTATAGCTATATGTCCATTGCATTTTTTTTCTTAACTCGTCGAGTACCGGTTTTGTAGACACAATTATAGAACAATAGGTTGCGGTCACCGGTGACCGCTTGGTGTTTGACAGTTTAAGGGTGTAAAATCATCGGATGACTTCTCCCGCCCGGGTGGGGTGAGAGGGAATGTCAGACTCTTACTGACTAAAAGCCGTGGCAATCCGTTAAGTCCTCAGCGGCTCTGACGTCTGTTGCATAGACGTCTTTAATAGTGTGTGTAACTGTGTTCGATCTTCGTTATCACATCCAATAGTCACTTCGTGATATCATCACTCCACTCACATAGGATCCGGCATTAGGATGCCGTAGTAGTATAGGTACTAGTCTCTTAGTGCTTTGGCGGCGTGCCTATTATCGAACACTTCCAAAAAGTGTATTATATTGTACATACCTAGATAAGTTGCAACTATGCACTGAGCTTCTGACTCGGATTCATCGTTGTCTCTAACTTGCATAATAGAGAGTAATGATCGTCGTCCTCGTAATATGACCTGGAAAATTAAGATTGATTTTTATTTCTAAAACTACATTGAAGAACTATTACATTAATGAAACTTTGTTTACGATACGAGCTATAATTATGCGTTTATTTAAATAACACGTTTTTGAATAGAATTGCTGATAGTAAGTAAGATAGTGCCCAATATGAAGATGTAATACCCATTTTGTTTTGAGTAACTACTATGTTGTGAGTAACTATACCTTTTGTTCGTTGGTAGTAACAGTGTCGCTGCTTGCAGTTGATGTAGCTGTGGGAGTGTCGCTGCTTGCAGTTGATGTAACTGTGGGAGTGTCGCTGCTTGCAGTAGATGTCACTGTGGGAGTGCCGCTGCTTGCAGTAGATGTCACTGTGGGAGTGCCGCTGCTTGCAGTAGATGTCACTGTGGGAGTGTCGCTGCTTGCAGTTGATGTAACTGTGGGAGTGTCGCTGCTTGCAGTAGATGTAACTGTGGGAGTGTCGCTGCTTGCAGTAGATGTCACTGTGGGAGTGCCGCTGCTTGCAGTAGATGTCACTGTGGGAGTGCCGCTGCTTGCAGTAGATGTCACTGTGGGAGTGTCGCTGCTTGCAGTTGATGTAACTGTGGGAGTGTCGCTGCTTGCAGTAGATGTAACTGTGGGAGTGTCGCTGCTTGCAGTAGATGTCACTGTGGGAGTGTCGCTGCTTGCAGTAGATGTCACTGTGGGAGTGCCGCTGCTTGCAGTAGATGTCACTGTGGGAGTGTCGCTGCTTGCAGTTGATGTAACTGTGGGAGTGTCGCTGCTTGCAGTAGATGTAACTGTGGGAGTGTCGCTGCTTGCAGTAGATGTAACTGTGGGAGTGTCGCTGCTTGCAGTAGATGTCACTGTGGGAGTGCCGCTGCTTGCAGTAGATGTCACTGTGGGAGTGCCGCTGCTTGCAGTTGATGTCACTGTGGGAGTGTCGCTGCTTGCAGTTGGTGTAACTGTGGGAGTGTCGCTGCTTGCAGTAGATGTAACTGTGGGAGTGTCGCTGCTTGCAGTAGATGTCACTGTGGGAGTGTCGCTGCTTGCAGTTGATGTAACTGTGGGAGTGTCGCTGCTTGCAGTAGATGTAGCTGTGGGAGTGTCGCTGCTTGCAGTTGATGTAGCTGTGGGAGTGTCGCTGCTTGCAGTTGATGTAGCTGTGGGAGTGTCGCTGCTTGCAGTTGATGTAGCTGTGGGAGTGTCGCTGCTTGCAGTTGATGTAGCTGTGGGAGTGTCGCTGCTTGCAGTTGATGTAGCTGTGGGAGTGTTGCTGCCTCCCGTTGGAGTATTGGTTGGTGCCGTAGTAGTGGTTTTAGTGTCTGGAGTCGAAATACTTGGTGATGTTTGGTTTGAGACTGGTATTGTGACTGTCGATGTCGGTGCAGCGGTTGTGGGCTTCTTGCTGGGACATGTTTGTTGTTGGTTTGAATTAACTTCACGGCAGTTACGGCATACGTAACATTTCCGGGCTTCAGCTGAAAATCATGGAAAAAAATTCATTTGCAGTCTACATGTCATTCGTTAAAGTACTACTTTCAGTCGTTGATCTGAATTTATGGAAATTATTCGCAAGGCGTTGAATCTATGTATTTCTTAGGGTTTTGAATTACTTCAATACTATTTTTTTACATTACCGTGTAAAATTTGATTCATTAAAATTAGATTGGATTTTACAGAGACCTTACAGAGTTACTTTTGTATTCATAATGTTTTGCACATATATAAAGAACTGTAGGAAATAAGGACATAATGTGTTGAACTAGCGCAAATAATGATTAATATATCTTTTATCTACTAGAACAAGTTTAATTCTTCATTGTTATTGATTCTTAATCTCGCAACACTTATAGATAAAGGATTATGACAATGATTGCCAACTGTAGTGGTAAGCATAAGATACTGGGGAACAATTCATCGATACATAATATAAATTGCAACCACATAAAAGTGCAGGTACTTAACGCTATCTTAATAAGGAGTTTGGCGGGTAAGTCTTTGGTAAAACATTGGCAACAAATCCAAACTCCAGGTAATAGGGAATTCCGAATCAAATAAAAGGGACTTAAGATTTATTTACTAGATCCTTGTTTTATGAACAATCTAGACTAGCTTGAATCACAGCAACAAACCATATGAAATAGAGACAGTATTATATTAGTTTTTAATTCTGTATAATACACTTATTACGTTTCCTATAACATAACTCTTATAATATATTGGCTCCATCGTAGATTTTATTTATTTTATTTGTTTGTTGGTTTGTGACTCCTACACGTCAAAACGACTAAAGGAAGAATAAATAGGTTGATTATATGAGACGACGTGCTCCATCGTAGACCGCATCATCACTTACTACTAGGTGAGATAGTAATCAAAGGTATCAAATTTATAAAAAAAAAAACATTAGTTTGTTGTTTGCTGATTTTTTTAAAATCGTGACTTAAGGAATACTGTTGTCGCACAAACACGATTTCAAGTGACTTACAATCCAATTGTCTTCTTCCAGTATCTATTGCCAATCAGATATCACTCGAATACAAACTATCCTATTATTTCCATGTTCCCTCAAACACTTCATCATTGTCTTTAACGTCCTTTGCCTTTCAATCCATCTCACATGCACTCGATTTTCCCCTGAACTCACTAACACTAAATTTTACAGAGTACGGATAACTATAAAAATGTTACCTACCTCTGATCACAGAGCACAAAATCACCAGGGTAAGTATATACAAAATCTTCGCCATTGTTCTTAACTTTCTTGCGACTTTTGCAATAAGGCCTATCCATATAGTGTCATCACTTTTATATCAAGTTAATATGACTCTTATATACGGGGTGATCTGATAAGGAACTAGGATTAACAGTGTGGGGAAGTCCCCTGTTCAACTTGTTAAAAGTTCAACTTTATTGATAGATTGGTTGTAACTTGCAGGTACGGCAGCCAAGCAAGATGATTAGGTTCAGTTTTCGTGTGAAAAAAATATTGATGAGGTTTTTGGTTTCTTTTTGTAGTGACTAATAAATTGCATGCATGATTTGATTGTTTCAATTAAATACAGTCTTTCTTCAGAGGAAAGTGAGCCTCAAATATTGTTTTAAGTGTGAGAGTGACTTTCAGCCATTAAGGTACAACTTAGTAAGGTTTTCAACCACTTGTTTATTCTCTTAGAGTCAGTTAGTTGGACTTCTTTGCAGTTTTTATACTGTGTTTAGCGTACTCATAATCGTATACCGTATTATGACTAAGCCTGTCTTCCATATTGCAATACATACATAGGTAGAAAGTAAACAAATATATTTTATTATCAGAAAAATTACTACCCGGTAATGTAGCACATTTTGGTTTGCAGAATATTTCACACACCTTGTACATAATTGCAGATATCAGAGATAATACTCGGTACTTGAAAGAAATCTACGTGACTCACTATAGAAATGCATCATTTAAGTAAACTAACAGTAAAAACAATCTTTATCATCTTTCCTGCATTCATCTGCTGCATTTTTTCATTCATCTATCAACACAATTTTCACGTAATATTACTAGGTAAGTAGGTATACATACCATCTGTGGGAAACCCTCAGAAATGGCATAGCTTTTTGGGGAAAAAGTCTGTTTGTGGGATTTTTACCTTTCTACCTCCCAGTAACCACCATTAGCACTTGACATTGGGTTCTTTCAAAATACCAACCCTAGAGCCTTCATTGTCACAATAGAAGCCCTTCCTACGAAGGAAACATTTATTTAGTAGACTTTAGCTGATTAGAATGATGATTCTCTAGTTAAAAATTCCGTGAAAATAAGCTGTGTGGTAAAGGTATTTTTTAAAATTGGTATGTAGATTCCTGAGAGATAGGGAAGTACAAATTTATCGGAATGTTTTAGTTCATCCAATATTACAGAAAAAGCCAGCACTGTCTAACCATTTTTTTTTATTTTAGAGGAATTTTTCCAACACGTGTCACTGTTATTTCTTCCGTTTGGACTAAATCCAACTAGGTTGAGGACAGTAACGCATCTTATCCAAATTGTGTTGCATGTAAATATCGGACACACACCAGACGACTTTATTGCAAAATGATATGGTTGGAAATCCCTTAAAATATGATGGAGTACTTTGATCTTTACCAACAATCTAGTGCCGCAATCGATTTTTTGGCACGGTCCAAGAATAATGGAATTAGGTATTAGCTATCTTTTGTCCAGTTTTAAGTATAATTATTGAACAGTTAAAAATTTAGTCATAGGCCTCCCCTGTCATTCTCTAGGATACCTAACACAATTTTATGCCTTCCACGGAAAATTAATCGCATCTCCTTTGCTTTTTTTAATGCATGAACTGATCACGTCGTTGATCGGGGAGTCAGAAATGAGGTTATTGATATATTTTTTGAATTTTGCATTGCTACATACCTACTCATCATCTGGGACGGCAACAGGTGCAAAAACACCATTGGGACACAAATCTGCGATATGAGCATGACGGGTCAACTGTGCAATTAGTAGATGAAGGGGTCCCTTGCTAGATGTCCATTTAACACTAGTGCTTTCAAATTTTAGCTGACCCTTGTATGTAGGTCGGTGATAAAGGTAGTGGGTTACCTCTTTACGTCATGGTATTTCATTTTAAACGTTTAAATTCTCAGTACTAGGTAGTAGTAATAGGTAGTAGGAGTATCCCGTACCTGATTGATATAACCAAGGTAAGAAATAAATAACAAAACAAGTATTTTATTTAATTTTATTAAAAAATACATACATACACGTTAAAAGGACGGCCTTTAACTATACATAAATACATAAATGCTTATTTCAATGTCTCGTTATGAATTTGTGAATGTGTCATCACGTGTAGTTTAAGCTTTACTTGTAACAACCATTGGAGCTTAATGATTATTTTATAATATTTATTTCGCCGTAATATGTTCCTCTCTGCCTGGTTCATTAAAAACACGAATACGTAGTACTTTAAAAATAACAACACTAACATCGTAAAATACATTAAAACTTGCCTTATTCATTAATCCTCTATAAACTGGTTAATCTATTAACAAATTACAGGTACAGTTTATTTTATTGAAAACATTAATATTTTATAGATTACACAATTATTTATAACTTTTGGTAGTCGACGGTGTAATTGTATAAGACACTGCGTGTTTAGCCACGCTCTCAACCCTATTAAATACTTTACTAAAACGAATAACAAAGCAAATAAACTGGACGGTCTGATGTTAATTTTAAAGGCATTGACGGCTTTACCAATGAATTTAATGTTGAAATAGATTTTGGCACCCCATTTTTAAACTGCAAGCGTTACACTCAAGGTGCCTAAGCTAGACCGATGGTCGTTCACTTGCTTTGAAGTCTATAGTCTATTATTGCTTGCAGAACAAGTATGTAGCGATGAGAGCTAGAGTGGCGAGTGGGAGGGAGAAGGACATAGATGTGGCTGCATTGCAGGTGTCCTTGTCACACACGCTGCAGTACTTGATCTTCTTGCTGGGGTCAGCAGTGTTCAACTTGGAGCTCTCCATGGAGCGACAAGTGTGGTTGATGTCGGCTGGGTTAGCATCCAAGCATGTACGGACAACGGCACCGGTTTCTGTAAAATAATTTAAATAAACAAATTAGTAGATAATTACAACAAGAAAAAAATCTTGCTAAAAAGAAAAGAAGTGGATGCCTGCATATATAACCCCAGATATTTTCTGGGGTAAAAAATGCAGGCATCCACTTCTTCACAAACTTTCTTTACGGAGTAGGATTCAGAGGCAACTTAATGCGTTGCCAAAAAAACTGAGGCATTGGCACTGACTTGTAGAAGTTACTTAATAAGTTTTATATCCAAAAGTAAACTAATAAGGAGTATATCCCTAAAATGCAACCAGCTACCGATGAAGGAAAAGCAGCACTCCTTAAATTTTGAACTAACTGCGATCTCAAAGCCTTATTCATAGGAATACTCTTTAAGCAGTTCAGTAGTATAATGAGAAAGACAATACTTACGCATCACAATCTTGTGGCAATATCTGGGTGCTCCGACCACACTGCTGAAGACTTCAGCAGGGAGGATACTGCGCAGGTACAGGGTGTTGTAGTTTATCGAATCTTGAGACATGCAGTCCTAGAAATGAAACCATTACGTCAGCTTATCACACTTTAAAACGATAGCCCTAATTGTATTGATAGAGAAACACTTCAAAATAGGTCTATTACGTATTATTTCTATTAATTTTGATATCAGGGATACCAAATGCCTATGAGGTGACGAGGACGACAAATAAGAGAAAGTGGTATAGTAAGGGCTTGAAGCTAATTAAGCATCTTCTATACAGTTTTAAGTCGAGTATGCCGCAAATATTATTTAGACAGAGTTTAGGAATTAATAAAACTTACCACTACATGCTTTGAGCCCTTGAAGGGGTCACCGCAAGCTGGGTCTTGTTCAGAGTTACATTGGTAACATCTCAGACAGGATCCTGGAAAGAAAAACGAAGTCAGTTTAGAATTATGCAACACTAAGTGTATATGGAGAGTCTATGTAAAATTTTTTGGAATGGCCGATAATAATAGAACGCCACAATGAAATCCATGATAAAAAAATACATTATTAATAGTAAAATGTACACAATTTTCATAGTGCAAGTCGTGGAGTCTAAGAAATATCATATAAGAGAACCTGGCTAAACGGCCTGTGGCTAAAGATGTATACGCTCAACTGTCGTCAATAAAGATCTTCATCAGTATAAACATTTTAATGGAATTTTCGCAAGGTCCCTCCAATAATACTTACGGTGATCGTAAAAAAATAATGCGTATTACGTCATACATAGGTACTTCGTTTTAAAAATAGTTAGTGTCTCTTTATTATTAGTTAACATTAATATTGTTATGGCTTTACAGATTTATGTACTAGGTACTAAAGTTAATAGGTAAAGGATCAACAATTTCAAATCTTGAAATCTGTGACCATCAAAACATGTAGGAAATTAGGGCCTACGTGGATATTAAGACCGTATTTGGCAGTAACACGAAACAGTAGAATGAAAACAAAAGATTATCAGACAAAAGGCTAAAATCAGAACCTGGCATTACATCAACACCAACGTCCAAAGAAAAACAATAAAAACCAAATTGAAATTACTAATGTAGGTATCTAAACTTGACATGATGACAAAAAAACTGTTCATGTTCAATGTAGTGGAATAACTGTCGACGAAGTACGATTCCCAACATTCTCAGACTCCTATGGTGCCCATAAAATTGATCTAAGGAGAGCGGAGCAAGTTTTTATTGCCCCCATACCAAAACTTATCTATGACATGGAGTTAGAACAAACAGATCGATATGTAAACGACTGTTTTATTCAATTACAGTTTCTTTTCTCTCTGTCTGGATTAATCATGTAATGCTGACCTTGTTTCGTGTTTAAGGTTAGGCAGACATATAATTCTATTCTCATATTCTGTAGGAAATCACTTCCCTCCGCGCGCGCGCACGGTGCAGTGGTGTTTTTATCGCTGTTTTATTATTATTGTTTTTTGCTGTTTATGTGATCTGTTCCGGTTCGTGTGGCTTTTTTGTTGTGTTCCCTGTGTCTGAGTGTGGTATACGTGAGTAATTAACGGGATTAATCCACTTATTAAAGTAATATTCATCACATTTTCGGTAAGTCAATTTATTTCTTTTGTTGCGGGTAGCGGATTATAAGTTCGTGTGATTAATACATATTTTGTTTTTTTTTTTTTTTTTTTTCTTTGATTTCGTATTGCTCGAGAGTATTTAAAGATAAGAACTAAATTAAACAATGGCATCGCGAAGTGACCCACCGGATCGCGGTGGGTTCCGTAAAAGTCAGTTGACTCCGCGGTCGCCACCCTCCACTAGCTCGAAGCGGCTTTTTAGTGAGATGTCGCCTGCGTACGCGACGCCTGATGATGATAGGTCAAAGCGTCTGCAATGTGGTTCGCCAATTCCATCCCCATCCGCATCTAGTAATAGTGATGCCGACCATGTAGAATTAATGACCGAGGCATCGACGTTGCTGTCCAAAATTAATGAGGTCGTGCTTGAGTCCCGCCTGACCACGTCAGGTAAATCGATCATTATGGAACTGACTCAGCGAGTCACCGGTATTGTCGCGATACTAGCGGTAAAGTCCTCTTGCACCGAAACTAAATTGTCAAACACCGAGCGCGAATTGGAAAGAATGAAATCGTCACCCTCACTTCTCAAAACTAGCGAAATAGTAAACAACCAGGACAATAAAGTGTCATACGCCGAAAAATTGAAACTTCGCCTACCCAAGGTCGTGCCCGCGATGGAATCCTCCCGCGCGCCGCTTCCGTGTGTTGTCGCCTACCCCACGTCCGAGCGCTCAGCTGACTTTGCGTCGTCATCGGCGACTAAGCAAGCGCTCATGAAAGCTATCAAACCATGCGACGACGGTTTTCAAATCGTAGGGGTCAAGAAAACAGCAAAGTCGGGTGTCGTACTGCGTGTTGCTAACGAGCAACAAATTAAGAAACTCGAGTCTGTGTCTGCGATTCGTGCCGCCGGTTTGCGCTTGGAAAAACCAAAGGGCCGTAGACCGCGTATTCTGGTCAAGGACGTTCCGGGTTCGATGGAAGACAGCGCGTTTCTGACCTCATTGTATCGGCAAAATATTAACGGCGAGCTCGAAATCAAAGAGGTGGATTTTATTAAGTCGTGTAAAATTACCCGCCGACGTACTTTGCAAAACGGTCGTAAATGGATTGGTATTGAAATCGATACCAGCATACGGAAGCATCTCGTGTCAACTAAAGAGAAATTATTTATCGATTGGGCTACCTGCCGTTTTATCGATGACGTCGAGGTGGTCAGGTGCCATCTGTGTCAGCAGTTTGGACACGTAAGAAAGCATTGTGTTGCAAAGACACCTACTTGCGGTAATTGCGCCGAAGCGCACGAAAGCGACAACTGCCCACGTGTAAAGGAAACTAATTTTATTCCAACTTGCGTTTCGTGTAAACGTTTTAAGAAACCTCACGAGCACCGTTGCGGCTCGCCAGAGTGTGGTACTTATAAAGCCAAACTAGAACAACTTATTCTGAATACAACTTATTAAATAATAGTATGGATAAGCTAACCATAGGGCAGTTGAATCTCCATAACGATAGGATTGCGACGTCTGAGTTAGATAAATTAATTGTTGATTATCAACTTGACATAGTACTTATTCAAGAACAATATCAATATACCCACTTACGGCACAGGGTAGTGCAGCTGGATGGCAGGTCGCGGGCCGGAATTTATGTCACGAAATCACCTAATTTCACTGTAACATCTATATCTAATTTAATGACGTCGCACTGTGCCGTCGCGGAGATTGCTTCGGGAAATTGTAAATTGTACGTTGTGAGCTGTTACTTTCAATATTCTGACTCAGTTACTCCTCATATTCATCACCTCCGTCACGTCTTGCAATCACTTGCGGGCTCCAAAATTATCATTGGTGCTGACGCTAACGCGTCTTCATCCTTGTGGTATGGCAAGGTCAGGGCTACTGACATGGAACGGCGCTGTGCTGTTGAAGAATTCATTGCCGAAATGAATCTCTCCATTCATAATACCCCTGATGCACCACCTACTTTTTGCAGCCAAATGGGCGAATCTTGTATTGACGTCACACTTTCTAGTGCAGACGTTAGCTTGGATAGGTGGCGCGTCCTACCAGATGCGTCGTGTAGTGATCATCGCCTGATCGTGTACGAGTTTGTTTCAACATTACCCCAGGGTCCAACATATTGCAATGATAGCTTTAGGTACAAGACTAAGGGCGCGGATTGGAACTTTTTTAGTTCATTATTTGCATCTCAAGCCAAAGATTTCACTCGCAGAGATCTCTCGGCCGAGGAGGGTGCTGAAATCATGTCAGATGCCTTTACTTACTGTGCCGACATCGCTTTTGGTCGCGGGTCCTTGACAAGTACGCGTAGATGCGACTGGTGGAATAACTATCTAGTCGAACAACGTAAATGCTTTCGTAAAGCGCGCAAACAGTTAAATAGACTAAAGAAACGTAGGGTAACCGGTACCGTTTTTGATGAAGCACTGATTGCGTTTAGAGTTGCCAGGTCACGCTATAGAGCTTCGGTGGAGAAAGCCAAGGGTGATTTGCTGCGGAGGGTTGTACAAAAATTAGATAAGGAGGGCCCGTGGTCGCCTCTATACCATGAGTTCAAAGCTAATAGATCCGTTGATCTGGCATTCGTACAGAACATAAAAGTCAACAATGTTCACACCACCGGTATTGAGGAGACAACGGAAGTTCTACTCGATGAGCTTGTCCCTGATGATGTATTCGAGACTGACAATGATTACCATCAACAGATTAGGTCGTGGGCAGCTATACCGCCTGAATCACCAGTGTCTGATCTACCGTCCATCAACGAGCTCGTAACTATTGTTAAAACTTTGCCTTTAAATAAATCATCTGGTGAAGACAAAGTCTCAAATAAAATGATAATAGAAGCATGTAAATCCGCGGCTGATGCGATCCTAACTGTGTTCAACCGTTGTATCGCGGAAGGCGTATTTCCTCGTGTATGGCGACGTGGATTCATTCGCATAATCCCCAAGAATGGAAATAAACCCCCCGATGACCCTAAGTCATACCGGCCTATCACGCTTTTGCCATCTTTAGGGAAACTACTTGAGCGACTTATCGTTCCTCGTTTACTGCCAGGTGGACCAAAATTCCACAACAATCAATTTGGTTTCACTGTAGGAAAGTCTACTGTCGACGCGGCTCTTTCTGTCCGATCCATGGTAAATTCGTCTGAACACAAGTATATAGTAGGCATTTTTCTGGACATTTCCGGTGCCTTTGATAACGCATGGTGGCCAATGTTACTCTTAAAACTGAAAGGTCGTGGCTGTTTTAGTAACATATATAAATTAATATACACGTATTTCCTTCACGGTTCCGTTAAACTGAAGCTTGGTCATTGTTCTCGGTCGAAGTCTTTATCAATGGGATGTCCTCAGGGCTCGGTTATCGGTCCGTATTTATGGAATTTAGGATTTGATGATTTGCTCGCGATTCCCCTTCCTTGTGGCTGTACTTTGACTGGATATGCGGATGATGGCCTTTTGCTAGTACAGTCAAATACCCGCGCCGGACTGGAGAATTTGGCTAAAGACTGTCTCAGTAGGATCTCGCGATGGGGCGAACGAAATCGCTTAACTTTTGCACCCCATAAAACTTACCAGCTATTGCTTAAAGGAAATCTAAAGTCGTGGCCGTCTATTAAATTTAACAACGTTTCCGTAAAACGAAAGGAGTCGGTTTGCTATCTCGGTCTAGTTTTGGAAAAAAACTTTTCTTTCATTGAGCATATTAAGGCTATTAGTGAGAAAGCCAAAAAAAACTTCTATGCGCTGACGCGAATTTCAAAAGCCACCTGGGGTCTCTCTTTTCTTACGCTCAGGATCA